AATTATAGCAATCAAAGTGATTACTATAGTTCTTAGCAATAGTTCTATCACACTATAAATCCAGACACTTGGAACCACAAGTCCAAATTCACAAATTATAGCAAATAAACGGTAAAAGACGAGAAAGAAAAATGACACTCGATTTGTTTAGGCAGTTCCCCCTGTCATCCTCGTGTGGGGTACTCTGCCCCTAATTCTAGAATTTAGAATTAGGATAATTGTTATTATGGTTGCAAAGTTTGTACAAGAGATAGAAAATAGTCACCACAATTCAAACCCAATATGTTGAATTGAAAACTAAGATCCTCTCTTCCCTTGATTCGATTTGAACCAAGTATGTCACTAATCTTCGATAAACCTCTGGTTGTAGCTACCTTGTTGAAAATCCAAACCGTTTCTCAAGCCCTCTGCTCGGCTGATTTGATTGCAAGATGGTGACCCTAATTCTTCCTTCACAATCCTCTGATTGTAGCTACCTTGTCGAGCGCACCCACAATTCCTCAATCCCTTAAGCACGGCTAAATTTGGATGAAGCAAAGAGTTGTCAAAAACCCCCAAATCCCAATATCTTGGAGGACAAAACCCTCAGATTTTATTCAAGAAAGACCCACAATTACTCAACCCGAACAAGATTGCAATCTTCTACTTCAGACGTTATCAACACACGCTCTACACCTTGATCGACAAAAATTATTATGTGTAGTTGTCAATGGATGAGTGAGAGTTTGAAGATGATGAGTACCTTGTGTATCTATTTCACTTTTCTTGTTAAAAAAATGATAGAACCTAACAATATTATATATGTTATCTCAAGTCAAAACCCAAACTAACAAGTTGAAAAATAGATTTAACGAGCGAACAATCGACCTATGCTAGAAGGGGGACTCGACTTGAGCATTCCCGAGAGTGCCAAAAGACAAAATGCGTGATCCACGCGTCGACCGCTCCAGGGCTATGCATCGATGCATAGTTCCTAAAAATTACTCCTAGGTTGAGTCGACCACACAGTCGACGTGAGCAAACCCGAGACTTCCCCAAGGAGAAAATTTCAATCAAGTGTCGACCAAAGCTTTCTTTGAGTCGACTCAAAGCATATAAATTTCCAAAAATACCAATTCTTGAAGACTTTTCATGCTTCCTTATCCATCATATCATCTAGCAACATTTCCAACATATAGTGGAAAGTTTTGACATCATTGAAACCTTTATTGAAGGAACCTTGCCCTCACATATACTCTATTGTAATCCTTATTCTATAGGCTTTTATCATTCTAATGAAAATTCTAGACTCTCTTTTCTTTTGTTAACAAAATGATCTATATTTAAATAAATTTTATAAATGTGAGTTGATCAATAAATTTTAATATGAAAGTGTCATTTAAATTCGGCTTAATGCATCATTTTGTCCCTTAACTTAATTTTATGTTTCACTTTCTTCCTTTATTTAATAGACATTCGTTTAAGTCCCTTAAATCATGTTTTGTAAGTCAAATTAGTCATTTCTGTTAAATTTTGTCAAAATCTGTTAAGTTGAGCAGATGTGGCACTCCAGCTGGTAATAACTTAGCTGACTTGGAATTGTTTTTTATTAAATATTTTATTATCTATAAAGCAAACATGTTCTCTCCTTAAAAAAACCTAGCCGCAACATACCACTCTCTTCTCCTTCTCTCTCTTTGTTTCTCTCTTTCCTTTCTTTCTCTACGTGAAAACCTCTTTGCAGTTTCTAGGGTTTTTTTGGGGTTTGAAATAGGAAGCATGGAGCAAGAACTGAGAAAGCAAGTTGTTTATTCTTCAAGTAAATTCTGGAATCATATCAACAAGTAAGTACTGGAATCAATCTTGATTCAACAGTAACTTTAATATATTTTATTTTACTTTTCATGTCTTCATATGTTTATAGATGTTGAGATTATTCCTAATTTCAAGTGTATATAATATGCTATTTATTTTTGTATAAAATATGTTCTTCCTTAATGGAGTTTTATTTTTTCTACTGACCTAAACAATCTCCACTCCAGACGCTAGATTTAAAGTCTTATTTACCATTTTTGTTAGATGCAACTGATTTATAGGTGTTAAATAACATGTCTTTCGATGCGTCCAGGCACCACTACAGAGGGAAGGTTTGACTCCAGAGCACGATATAGAGTTGGGGGAATTGGATCCTGATGATCTAGTAAGTGATTAAAAATTTGTGACTTTATTATGGAGGGGCTTTTAAGTTATGCAACTAACTGGACTATCTTAAATTGCTATTATGCTTTTGTACCTATTTGAATCAAAAGAACAAGGCAGGTTAAATTTCTTGAAAGATTTAGAGTAAAATCTTTTGCAAAACAATTTTGTGCATATATATCATTATCCAGTTCTCTATCAACTTCTCTTCAGATGGACAAAGCAGTTCTACCAATTCAAGTTATTCGACATTTAAAAGAATGAAAGTGAAAGTGGATATTGCGGCTTTTGATGAAAGAATGAAGAATGTGTTTGTTGTAATTATCTGTGAGGAATATAATTTTGATGATGTTGGAGAATCTTGTTTCTATATACTGTGTAAATTTGATATGTAGTTAATAATGTTTTAGTGTAAATTTAGAATGATATTTTCTATACTTTTTGGTTAATGTGATATGAAAATGAAGTTTTTTTATAACTTATTTGTTGGATTCTTTGTGTTGGTTATGTGCAGGACTCACAAAAGTTTCAATACATTTTTTAGAAGCTTACAGCAGAACAATTGACATATATTTTTTTACATATTTTTAACAATTTGGGGGAATTTTTAACCTCCAAAAACAAAATCCCCACAATTTAAATAAAATACTTGTTTTTTAATAGATATACTGAGTCACAAATATATACTAATACTATATCAGTCAAGTTAACATTTTCATAACCAAACTAATGGAATGGACCAAATTAATTAACAGAAATAATTGTTACCCGACTTATTTATAACATTTATTATATAAATGACCAAAATGAAATCTGAAATTAAATTATAAAACTTCATAACAAAATAAGTCTTTAAATTTTAAACTTTGAATCTTAACTTTAAATAAAATTAATTTTAAAAACTAAAGTTATGAATCAATTCTACATTAAGATAAATTTTAAATGCTCAAATATTCACTAATCACATGATTAACATATTTAGAATAAGGGAATATAACGGTCATCCTAATAGGTACTCCCATAACACTCTTTAAAAATACTAAATAAAAAAAATATTAAATAAAAAATATATATAAAAAAATACTAAATAAAAAAAATATTTTTTATAAAAGGCAATCATCATAATTTCCAATATATTAATTACACACATTTTTAAAATATCTTAATACTTTAAATACTTAAAGGTGTTCCTAAAACACTAGGTTAGCATTTCCCTTAGAATAATCACGGTTTCCAAAACTATAGGGACATTGCATTGCATACCAAATTACTCCATCAAGCACTAGTGTAATATCCCAAAGAGAAAACAAAGAAGGTGGTGGGGTTAAGCATCATGGTCCACAAACCTAAGACAAAGATGGAATAGCATCACATCACACACCCAACGAAAACGAGAGAGTGGCAAAAACGAAAAGGTTGACCTCATTACATCACCACTACAACCGGCCATACCCGGTTGCACCGACACCCTTCTCCGGTCACCATTCTTCTTCCGTTTTTTTTTTAAAACGCCACCACCTTCCCTCACTAACAACCTCTCTTTCTAATTCTCATCACAAAAATAAAACAAAACATAACCAGAGAAACAACACTATTACTGTGTTTTGTTGGAGTAGTAACATTGCTAATCCCGAGGATTTGTTGTTTTTTCTCGGCAACACTTTCCCATCATTTTAACGTACGTTTCACTTCACCTTCTTCTTCCCGTGTTACTTTTGGTAAGTTCCAACGTGTTCAACTCTTCCCCTTATTTATTACTCTACGGTTACAACTTCCTATTACTACACACACACACTCTCTCTCTCTGTTCTATGCTTTGTCATTTTTTTCTTCTCGTTTCACGTGAGATTGAGATATCACACAAACAACACACTGCACGCTCACGAACTCATCCACTTCCATTTGTATGTTTTCTAATACTATCACTCTCAATTTTCACTAGATCTTATCCCTTCTACTTTTGTTTCTTTCTATCAGTACTTGTTTTTTATCTTTGAAATGTTGCTTTCAGATTTGTCCTTTCGTGATTGTTTTTATTCTTATTATTGTTTTTTAGAAAGAAATTATGGAAATGTAGTAAGTTGTTGTTTACGTAGGATTCATAGATCCTAAACTTATTTTATTCTTTTTTGCTTGGTCAAAAGTTAATGGTGAAAAAAAAAAAAAAGAGAGAATAAATAGTTTTATTATATACAGGTTAGAGACAGTTGTTAATTGGAATTTTTTTGAAATTATTGAAATCAAGCCAGCTTGCAAGCATATTTGATTGATGATGTTGATGGTGATGTCTGATATGATCTCAGTTTTGATTTTATTCTGAAATAAGTGGTATTGATATGGACTCATGTTCTTGAATGAAAGATGCTTGTGATTTGTTCTTGTTCCTACAAAAAGTGATGATTTATTTGCTTGATTTTAGAAACTTACTTAAATTTCATTGTCTTGGATTGGATCTTAATCATGTTCACTTTTCTAAATAAGGTCTTGAAATTTTGGGTGCAATTTTTGTAAAGAAAAACTCAATCTGGTGGTCCTTACAAACTGTGTACTTTGATAACTTTCTGCACTTTCTGTATGGTTTCTCTATTTTGGGATTACTTTGATATCATAGTCATTGTGATTTTGATGAATTGTTCAAATACCTTTTTCATACTAGTACTATCTCTCCATGCTTTTCTTGATTTTCAATTTTACTTTTTAGAATTTAGTAACTTATTTAGACACTTCACTACTACTACTACTTTTGCAGGTAGAATATTAATATTGTTGTTTTGAGTTTCTGGAAAAACTATATACAAGAGATTGTGTATGTGTTTGCTGAGATGAAAGTTAATGAAGTGAATGATAATCATTCCATTGATTTGGAGAAAGAGCAAAAAGAAGGGAATGGAGAAGTATCGGACACCGACACGATGAAGGATTCAGTGTCATCTCAGAGTGATTCTTTCACAAATGAAGATGAGAAAGTAGAGAAAGCTTCAAAGGATCCGAAAAGTAAGGTTAAAGGGAATGGTTTAGAAAACAATCGAGGATCGAGGGAGAGTTCTGATAGGAAAACAAATAAATTGCAATCGAAGGTATCGGGTAGCAATCAAAAGAAACCTGTAAACTCAAATAAAGGGCCTTCGAGAGTTGTAAACAAAAATACTTCAACCAATTCTAAGCCGGCGAAAGTTCCCGTTAAAGTTTCTTCAGAATCTTCTGAAGGAGTTGATGAAAAACCTGTTATAGAAGTCAAGGAAATTGGTATTTTGGATGGATCCTCCAGTGGTGCTCAAAGCGTAGGAAGTGAAGATGAAGGTCGTGTTGAAATCGTTAAGGCTGAAGAAAACGGTGAACATGAGAATGCGGCTGCTTTGGAATTGAAAGTTAAAGAAATGGAATCGCGAATTGAAAATCTTGAAGAGGAATTGAGAGAAGTTGCTGCTCTTGAGGTGTCACTTTATTCTATTGTACCAGAGCATGGAAGCTCGGCACACAAAGTGCACACACCTGCTCGGCGACTTTCTAGGCTCTATATACATGCTTGTAAACATTGGACCCCGAAAAGGAAAGCCACGATTGCGAAGAATACTGTTTCTGGCCTTATTTTGGTTGCTAAATCTTGCGGTAATGATGTTTCAAGGTATGTACATGAATCTAGCAGAATTTTATCTTTGAATTAATACAAACACAACAAATGTTCTTATCTTGACTTGTGATTCAGGTTAACTTTCTGGTTGTCGAACACCATTGTGCTGAGAGAGATAATTTCACAGGTTTTTGGGAATTCATGTCAAGTTAGTCCCATTATGAAGTTACCTGGTTCAAATGGGTCTGCCAAGAGAAATGATGGGAAGTCTGCATCACTGAAATGGAAAGGTATCCCAAATGGTAAATTGGGAAATGGTTTTATGCAGATCAGTGAAGATTGGCAAGAGACCGGAACCTTCACATTTGCTTTAGAAAGAGTAGAATCGTGGATTTTTTCTCGGCTAGTAGAGTCAGTGTGGTGGCAGGTATAAATGTCTCTTGTATTGAGAATCTTGCGATGAATTGATATATCTGTCATGAATTGAAAGTGTTTTATGCTTTCAGGCTTTGACTCCTCATATGCAATCTTCGGTTGTGGACTTGTGTTCTAATAAATCCATTGGGAGGCTGCTAGGGCCTGCTTTAGGTGATTACAATCAAGGAAGCTTTTCCATCAATCTATGGAGAAACGCTTTCCAAGATGCGTTTCAAAGACTCTGTCCTGTTCGAGCAGGAGGGCACGAGTGTGGTTGTTTGCCGGTGATGGCAAGAATGGTATGCTTTTACCAATCACCTTTTCTTAAACATGTTTCTAGCTTCTCTTTTCTTTGCTCTAAGCCTCGAAAGATTGAGTAGATTTAAATTCATTCCCCAGGTCATGGAACAGTGTGTAGATAGACTAGATGTTGCGATGTTCAATGCCATTCTTCGAGAATCAGCCCATGAGATTCCAACTGATCCTGTATCAGACCCGATTGTGGATTCCAAGGTTTTGCCAATTCCAGCAGGAAACTTAAGCTTCGGATCTGGTGCACAACTGAAAAATTCCGTATGAATTTTACTTTTTGTTTACTTAACAAATTGATTCGCAAAATTTGTCGTTAAGACACATTATTGGTTTGAGTCATGTGACTCATGCATTATCAAGTTTTCATCATATTCCAAAACTATGTCTACAAGTGATTATTCTTATGGAAGAGTTACTTGAACTGCAGGTTGGCAATTGGTCGAGATTGCTCACTGATATGTTTGGCATTGATGCTGAAGATTGTCTAGAAGAATATCACGAGAACGGTGAGAACAACGAAAGGCAGGGCGGAGACGATGAACGTAAATCGTTTGCGCTCCTTAACGATTTGAGTGACCTTCTAATGCTCCCAAAAGACATGCTTATAGAGAAACAAGTTAGACATGAGGTTAATTTCATGACATAAATACTTCTAATATCATATCACTTTTGCTTTCTCTTTTTTTTTTTGTCGTCATTATTTTGCTTTTTTACTATGTAGGTATGTCCATCCATCAGTCTTTCATTGATTATACGCGTTCTTTGTAACTTCACTCCAGACGAGTTCTGTCCAGACCCAGTTCCAGGAACTGTCTTGGAGGCCTTGAATGGGGAGGTATACTCATCTCTTTCATTTTTTAAGCTGTTATGACTTATTAAAGCTTCATAAATTTGTTGCTAGTTTGTTAACAAAATTGTATTTCATATTTAGACTTTTGTGGAGCGAAGATTGTCGGGAGAATCCATTAGAAGCTTCCCTTATGCTGCGGCTCCAGTTGCATATACACCTCCCTCTTCAGCCAATGTGGCGGAGAAAGTTGCAGAAGCGGGAGGAAAGTCTCACCTGACAAGGAATGTATCAGTTGTTCAAAGGAGAGGATATACAAGTGATGAAGAACTTGAGGAACTTGAATCGCCGATCACATCTATCATTGATAAGGTTCCTTCATCTCCAACAGTTACTACTAATGGAAATGGTAATCACAAAGAGCAAGGGAGTCACACCACAACAAATGCTAGATATCAACTACTTCGTGAGGTTTGGTCCATCTGATGTGAACCTTGTGAAATGAAATTCGTATGTCATTGAAGGATTTTTAGGTGCAATGAATTGTGATTTTAGAAAGAAAAAAAGAATAATATATTAGAATCTTTGTCAATCGGGCAATTTAAGGTTTAGTTGTTTTTTTGTGTGTGTATAGATAGATATAAGTCTTTAAAGATAAACGATGTATTTCGTCTATATAAATATCAGATGCATCAATTATTCAATCATCTATTTAGAAGGAATATCATTGAAGGATTCTTTATGTTTAGTGTTAACATGTAAGTTTGAATTGGCTTTTTTTTTTTTTGCTTTTGTTTTTAAAAGAGTATACAAACTTATTTTACAATGCATAAGAATTAGGTTCAATTGCTTTGTAGAAGTTGTTCTCCACATTGTGCTAAAAGTAGATTTGAACATCATCTTTATTTTTCAAATCATGTAAACCAACATATGATTGATGCATGAGTCCAAATATTATAGACATGGTCGAAACTAGACTTCTCATAAATTCCTCTTCACTTAAAAGACAACGTAAAAAAGGAAAATAACAATTTAAAAATGTTATATTTGTTGTTGTAATTGCCTCCCACGAATTGTTGTGGTCGTGAATGTCGTTGAGTTCCTCTTCATCTTCATCTGTGTTCACTGAATAAAGTATTCAAAGATGGGTGGAAATAGAAGGATTTCAGCTGTTGTACATGATTTTTCAATTTTTTAACTTTATTATTTTAAATAGGTAGATTCTTTTTTAGTATTCTTGAGTTTTACTTAGGTACCATATCTTTAGTATAAATTGATTTAAAATTTATTTTTAAAATAAAATATAAAAAAAGTGATGTGACATTAAAAAAATAAATATCTACCCAACAAAATTTAATGGCTACCAAAATGTTCACATTTTAAATAATTATAATAGTTCTAAATATCAAGTAGATTAAAAAAAATTAAAATATCACTATCATATCACTATCAACAATAACATGAAAGGCTAAAATTGAAGAATTTAATATACTTCTATAATCAAGTGTTTTTGGAATAGTGCACCTTAGACGTATACGCACTATCATGTCGGTTGTAAAGTCGAAATGAATAAATATCTTTTATGATAGAGAACCATACCCTACTAAAATGGTAATAAGCCTCCAAATAATAAAAAAGTAGGGTAGAAGGGTCTCATCTATCATTTTTGGACATACATTTTTGTTCTAAACAACTGAGAAGTTCATCCACTTCAATAAAGTTGTGCATAAAATTAAAATGTGTCATGCTTACATGTGTCAAAGGGCATATCTTAAAGTTATTGTGATACGGTGAAAGAACTGATTTGAGGTTTTGCGTTTTGTCGCAAATGTCGCGGTTAGTAAGAGTTGTCACTGACTTTTCTTTTATCCAAAAGGAAAGGTAAAAAAGTACAGGAAAGACCTTTGAGATATTTTCTTGAGTTCAGGGGTAGATTATGAAAAGGGAAGGTGCTAGCACCCTTTTCATCCATGGTTTTCCATGGGCTCTTAGTTACTTGCTTAGATCACTTGTTTTGCTTTGTTTGAAATGGTGTTTGGTGTGATTTTGAAAGTATTTTGAAAAGAGGCAATTCGTTTAGACAATCTTTGTAATGATTCTCGTTCGTAAGAATGTATACAAAAATGTTTGTCTTTTAAAAAATATTTTCAATGTTTTGTAAGATGTTTTTGAAATGTGTGTGTGTTTGTTTTTTAAAATAGCAAGGATTGTTTGAAAAGGAGCAAGTAACTTAGAAGCTATCTACCTACTCAAATGTCTTTCTTGTACATTTTTATTCCTTTGACATTGTTGACTTACCATTGATTTGGTAAGGAACTCTATCTTTGGATGTAAACGGGACGGGCGTGGATCATCGTATGACCATGATAGCAATGTTGCCAAGTATCTTAGCATTTTTTTGAGGGACCAAGATCATTTGTTTAGGCAACCTTTGAATAGCGTCATCGAGGGACTATGATCTTATACTTATTTTGTTTTGCCAAGATACTTTGCATGCGTAACATGGCCATTTTATTTTAGGCAACCAAGTGGGAGAAACCCTAAGGGTGCTTGTGTGCAAAATGTGTCATTTCTCGTGCCTTTGATTTGCATTAGGTTTTTCTACTATTTGTTTGGTTTTTGTTCTTGTCATGCAAACCCTAATTACTAAGCATAGTATACAAAGCGATAAATTACGTAAAATAAACTAAGCTATTACAACAATTATTATGGGAGGGGGGATACAAGTTTTGAATGAGGATTTTGCACAAATATAAACCTAAAAATATTATTACAACCAAATCGAATATTGCGCGAATTAAATAAATAAGGCAAATATTTAAAATGCAATGCAAAATGTGTATGTTAAAAAATGTTTTTGTGTTTTGTTTTTTGTATGAGAAAAATAATTAATTTAAACCCTAGAAATATAAGGAAAAATAATATTATTTTTGGAGGGGTGAAACCCTAATTTTTTAATTAAAATAAAATAATGTTTCCTATTATTATTTTGCACATTTTTGTATAAGAAAATAAAAAATAAAATTATATTTGAATATTAAAAATTAAATATGTATAAAAATAACCATTTATGAGTATAAATAGTATAATAAAAATATTAAGTATTTTTAAATATATATTTACAAGTTATTTAAGAAAATAAAATCTATTTATCACAATAAACTAATTTTTATGTAAAAAATAATAATAAAAAAAATAAAATAAAATTGCAAAAATAAAGAAATTATTTTTAGGATTTTTATTATTAAAAAAAAACTATAAATATGAAAATATGAAAAAAATATGAAAAATATAACAAATAAGCCAGGGGGTGTAAAAGTAAGTCAGGGGTGTGAGTAGCAAAAACAAAAAAGGCCAATGCAACAAAAAGCCCAGAAGCCATCGTCCCTGTCCTTGGTCATCTTCTTCGCACACGCTTCAGTTCAATCTGTAACTCTCACATGCTTGCATAAAAACAAAAACTCACAACATGAAAAATGTGGCATTTGAGCTCACGATTTCAGCCATATAAATTATGTGACCTAACTCTTAAAGATCAAGGAGAATTTTGGAACCCCTAATTCGTAACCTAAAAAATTCAGGAACTTCAAGCTTCAAATTATCACAGCACAGTTAATATAAATGAAAAGTATGCATATGTACAGCTTTGTCATGATAAGGGCTACATTTTTCTTCACAAATCGTGGCTTGAAGTTGCCTATTCAGAGAGATAGACTTTAAGAAATTACCTCATTTAGCTGGATTTGTGTAGGACAGTGTAGGGACTTTAATGGAGGCCTGGTGATTATTTAAGCTTCCTTGAACTTCCCTGAACCTATTCCAATGCTTAGCTTGCTCTGAGGATGGCTGAAACTCTCTGGATAAGTCAAGCTGCAAGCTTCCAAAATGAAAATGGTGGATGCTGAAACAGGGGTTACAGAACCAGGGTGATGGCTTAGATTGCTTTGGTATGATGTGTATGAGATGTTTCAAGTGTTTAAACACAAAATGCACTAGCCAAAAATTGGTTGTCTATGCTTTTGCAGATTCTGTGTGTTTGGACAGAATTTTGGAGTTTTTGAATTTTGGAGATTTTGTAGTGTCAAGCAATCGTGTCAAGCCTTGCAATAAGTTTGTGTATTTGTATAGAAATGATACAATGGTCAGCCCTTACTAGCTGTACAAGTTTTTGACCTTTTGGCAATTTTTCTTGCATTTGAAGTAAAGTGAAGTGACCATATTAACATGCCTGTCCTTGCTTGCTTGAGAGCTGAAATGCACTTGTACAATTTGCTTGAGACCTGTGTAAATTGCTTGCACCAAAGGGACAGGTTCAATGCTCAAGATTGACAAAGTTGCAAAAGTTGCCCTTTATGAAAACGGCAATGTGAACTTTATGCCTAAAATGGAATTATCTCTTGTACAAAGCTTCAAAAGCAAAGATAATGCCTTTGTCAACTAAGTTTGCATTTAATTATGGAGTGTAAAGTGAGCTTAGGACCTGTAAAGCAAGATACAAACAACATGGATTGGATTTGCAACTTGATGCTATCTGAAAAATGGCTTGAACAAAAGTGAGAAAATACCAACTTCCCTTCTTCGATTCTCCCTACTCAAAAATGATCTTGGAGAGTTCTTGGATATTTTGGAAAGCTTGTAATGTTCTATATAATCCATATTTGAAATGAAAATTGAGATACCTCTTGGAACTAGGTGAAAAATTTTCATGAAGTTGGGTCCAAAACCTGCCTAAATTAGGGCAAAATTTCACTAAGTTAAGAAGTTCATGGACCTATATTCACAAATTCATAAATTGATATCCAAGCATCTTTTGGGAAAAGTTTGTGAAGAAAAGTTGTATATTTCATGGAGGACTACAAATTTCATGTTGGAAGTTTTCTTTGAATCAAAATTCATCATGGTGAAAAAGTGGTGCAAAGTTGAGAAAAAATAAGAAAAATTTTATACTTGGAAAAATTCTAAGTTATGAAAATTTTCAAATTAAAACCCTAATTTGCAAATTTAGTTTTCTTGGTCAACAAGTTTCACATTTTGACATATCTTGATGAATTATGACCCTTGGCACTTGATTTTGACCAAAAAGTCAAAGTTTGACTTTTCAGTGTACAGTTGACTTTTGATCACTTGACTGCAAAATTCATCTGTCAATCCAATGAACTTGAGATCTTTTGAACCAAGTAATTAGGTCAAGATGATTCCATTGAATCCTTGAAATCATGTTTGAACTCAATTGGTCATTGGCTAGGTTAAAAATCAGAAATTGCCCTTTCTCAGTCAAAGCCCTAATTTTGACCATTTTGCCCTTTTGATGATTTGATCAAATTTCTTGAGAAGTTGTGATCCAAACTTGATCAAATGGTACATATGAGCCTAAAATGTTGATGTGGATCAAAAATCATGAAGTTTGACTGTAAATTGGCCATGGTTGACTTTTTCCCCAATACAGCTGATTTTTAGGTCAATTGTCTAATTGACTGATCAAAAAT